ACTACATGTTCACTGAGAGAAAATCTTTGTTGAACAGATAAACCCCGTCCTGTCCTCACTGTGTCTCCATCATGGCTGAGTCCTGGAGCCTCAGTAACTCTGAACTGTGAGGTTGAACATCCGTCTGCAGGATGGAGCTTCTACTGGTATAAAGCTGTTCCTGATCTATCAGAGAAATCCTCCAGTTATGAGCTGCTACCTGATGGCAATGGGACTGCACAGGACTCCTACATCATTCATGGACAGACACACACAGCAGGATATGTGTGCAGAGCTGGAAGAGGAGACCCAGAGTATCACACTGATCACAGTCAACCAAAGTTTGTCTGGTCTACAGGTCAGTTTGTTTCTCTCTAATAAATTATGTCATCACTTTAATTCCCCATTATTTTTCTTGCAGCGGCATGCTGACATTGAAATCTGATGTCCAATTACAATTAAATTGCATTAAATGATTTTATTTAAGTTTCCTCATAAGCATTAAATTGAATCTCATCCTTTCTCACTACATTCAAGTAAACTGAGCTTCAGTCAAACACTTCTGTTGTTATTCAAATTCCTCCTTGTTTGTTTCTCACCGAGTTAAACAAGAATGAATTTTGTCTCCAGGTCTTTTTAATCTTCATGGTGATGATTAGAAAGTCTGTAAAGCTGGCAGCACTCCTGTGAAGCACATTATGTACACAGATGATCTCGTGGTCTTTAGTCCTCATGTTGTTGTGCTTTTGCTGTGAAAAATGATATCAGACATGATGCCCATAAAAGTGCTGTCATGATTTGCAGAAGCAAAGACAACAAACATTTAAGATCTGCTGATGTTAAACTGTCTGATAATGATCTGACTGTTTGTAGTAAGGTCACAAATGTCAGACATCTTATTACATGACTGATGATGAAGATATTTGCTTGTGCACCAACAAACATGCACGCTGTGGACAAACTGTAGGAAAGCAGGTTTATAGAAACTTCTAATGTTGCTTCTAATGATGCTGTGAGATTATTACTGAGAGACCCAGATGGTTCAGTGAAATGTTTCCAGGTGCAGGAGTCACTACATTTAAAGCTGTAATAACAAATCTTATTCATAGATTTATTTGCAGTTATTTTGGGTTTAGCAAGAACTATTTTTTTCTCTGTGATATTGTGAATCCTAACATCTGTGAGCTTTGTCTCTTCACTGCATGTTGTTTCCAGATGTTCATGCAGCGTCTCTCACAGTGAGTCCTGACAGAGTGCAACACTTCACCTCTGACTCTGTCTCACTGACCTGTGAGGGAAACTTCACTGAGTGGAGAGTGAGGAAGTTCTCTGATGGCCGTCTGTACTCTTCTAATTGTTGGAGAATGACTGGATCCACATGTAACATCAACACATCAAAGTCACATACTGGAGTGTACTGGTGTGAGTCTGGATCAGGAGAGTTCAGCAGTGCAGTCAACATCACTGTACAGAGTATGTTATTATACATTTACTTCTTGGATCTGAATGATTTAGACGTCACATGAACATTGTCCCAGCTGTGCTCTATGTGAAGTAATTCTATGTGGCAAAACAAACAACAATGATCAATGATCATTTTCAGACAGGCACCAAAGCATCAAAATATTCATGATTGTTGGTCTCATTTCACTCGATCTTTTCATAATTCAGTTTGTCAAAATTTGCAGACAATATTTTATATATTCTCCCTTTCAGAATAAAGGAATAGGGAAACACGTCGTGTAAAATAAAACAAACATACAAACATTTACAATTTCAACTTTAACCATTAAATAATTTCATAGTTTGACTCCTGGAGGGAGGATGAAGGGAGCATCCCAACTATATTTCCAGTCCTCTTAATCAAATTTTGAATTTGGGATCTGAGTTTGACAGAAAGTTTGCCAAAACATGTAGTGATACCATAATAGATAACAGAGTCAACAATCTCCATATAGAATAGTAACATGATGCATTTATTTACTCCATGGACCCTCGGCCTTCTAACAAAAATGCAAGTGCTGCCAACACGAAGTGTTGATGGTCCACATGATGAACCCACTGTAACTGAACATCTAAGCACTGAAATGTTGTCACTTGTTCAAACGTCTCTCCAGTCATTAAAACCAGGCTCTCAGAAAATCTCTCTGAAGCCAGGTCTGCATGTAGATCATGAGACACGACTCACAGCTTTTTCTAAAAGTTTTGCACCAGCTGATGTGACTGAAACAATTGTGTGTGATTGTTTCACAGATGATGGTAATGGTCCTATCCTGGTGAATCCTGTTCATCCTGTGACTGAGGGAGCTTCTGTTAATCTGAGCTGCAGTTTGAGAACACAAAAAATACTTTCCAATGTGTTTTTCTATCACAATGACAAACTTATTGAAAATGATACCCGAGTAGAGCTGAAGATCTCTGCAGTGTCAAAGTCTGATGAAGGTTTCTACAAGTGTCAGTACTCAGGAAGAGAGTCAGCACAGAGCTGGATGTCAGTTAAAGGTGAGCAGGATCAACACGTGATGGATTTTAATGGATTTCATGCTTGAGAAGGAACATTAGATTGTCGGTTTAATGCTTGAAGTCACCTGGATCTATTTTGTCAGAACTTTTATAAAATTATTATGTAATATCTCTATATTGTCAGGTTTAATATCGTTGTGATTCAGGACTCAAGTGAAAACAGCAGAGGATGTAATAAGTGAAGGTTTTTTTACTCGAACAAAGGATAAATAAGTTAAAACAACAGATTGTGAGCTTTGACTCAGTCAACAAGAACAAAACATAAATGAACCTAAACTTAATGAGCGAGTCCTACAAAAACATCTTAACTGAGGTGAGAGAGACAGGCCAGAGGAGCGGACATAACAGTGTGAGGGCGGCAGATCTGTGGGAGAGGAGAGAGCAGTTAGGGCAGGAAATCTGAGAGAATGTGACAAGACAGAGAGTGTTCATAAAGTGGCTGCAACTATGCCTTATTTGAGTCCAGACTAGCTGGGTTTAGTGGATGAAGGCAGAGGTCTGTGGAAACTGCTGAACGATGGGCAGGCAGGCAAATGAGGAAGAGGCTCCGAGGGGGGCAGCGGTGGTGGTGAATACAGGGGTAATGATCCAAGGTGGCAGGCGTCTGACTGGAGGTGAATGATGGCATGAAAACGAATCTTGAAGCAGGAAGAAACTGAAACAAGGGGAAAATCTGTTAGCATACAAATCTTATTTTCCTAGAAAGGATCCCAGCAGACCTGCCTGGTTACCTCACTGACGAGCTGCAGTCATGTTAACTATCCATTAACATTTGGCTTACAGCCACCGAGGTCTTCAAGGTCAACTTAATGACTAAAAAAAAATCCTTATAACATAGAAACTATGATTCTTACAAAGGTGTTGTGTCTTGTCAACATATAGAAAATACTGTATAAAGATTTAAGATATCATGTTACGTTTGACCTCTGACCTCACTTTTACATTTCACATGTGCCCTTGTTGTCATGTTGAAAAAATCTGCCTTTGGACTTATTTTTACTGAACTACAAACTTCTCACAGTACAAATAAAACAAAATAAATACACAGAAAATACAATATTGTTTCCTTAAAAGTAAATGCTGTCAACAGAGTGAGCTGCCTTAGCAGAGATTTGTGCTCTCAGAGTGTTTGTTTTATTTATTAATAATTAATTATTGTTTGTTGTCACAGTAACTGTGTCAGGAGCTGACAGCTCTTCATCTCCTGTGTGGTTGATGGTTGGACTGGTTTGTGGAGTCTCTCTCATTATTATTCTCCTGCTCTTGTTGTATCGCTGCAGACAGTCCAAGTGTAAGAGCCTCTTCTTTTCATGCTGTATTAGAGAGTTTATTTACTACATACACTTTAATTATTCACACATATACATGTATTCTGATCTCATGACACAAAATATCAGTGGAACAATTTATACATGACAAACATGTGTAATAACATTTGTCTCTTTCACAGGTTCCTGCTTCACCAGGTTGGTAAAATACTTTTTATTATTATTTTAAACAAACATCAGTTACTTTTAAGTTTATTGTGTGCATTTCCTGTTTTAGGTCGATCCAGTCTGAGAGTCACAGTCCGGGCTCCTCCACAAATCATGGAGTCAACCTGAATGAAACTCATGAGTACGACTCTCTTCAACATGGTCAGTATTTAAACCATTTAAATAATATTATCATTATTAATATTGACTTTTCATTCAGTCTTCATTAACAGAAACAGTTTCAAACAGGTTCAGTTTGTGTTCAGCAGTTTTTCAAAGGATCTTTATCAAAATCCAGTTAGACAAAAATCCAAACAGCCAAATGCCACATGAACATAAAATCAGAAACAAACAGGAGTTTACAACCTGAATGTATCTTTACTGAAAGAATCCACAGAGATGTTGTTTCCAACACGTTCTCACTCTCTAAGCGTAATATTTCATGCTAGGTGACAAATCATCAACATTTTACGCTTTTGGGTACCCAACACGTTCCTAAATGACAACATTGGAAAAATAAGAAAACATGAGAACCGTTTGGACGCACTCTACACATGTTTGTTCATTTTCTTAAAATTGCTTTGGAAAACACTATTTCACTTTATTAAAGTGCTGGTTAAGGTTAGGGATAAGGTTAGGTTTAGGGCTGCGATACATGGCTGGAACGTCTATTACCGCGGGACCGTAATTCCACTGGATTCCATCCATAACCCGGTGCCTACCATAAGAACGTGGATATGGCAAGCCATCGCGATATTTGGCCAGGGTGGCTTGCCATACAAGGAAGGTCACCTTTCACAATCCTCAGGAACGCTGCGTGACAAAACATTGGTATGCTACGCCCCGGGAGTGAGAACAGCTGTTGTTTAATATCATAACAACACAAACAATAACAACATTATGGGTTAATGGTTTGAAAATATCTCATAGTTCTGGTTTTGACTTAAAGAGGAATATTTAATCTCTTTTAGGTTTTTATTAAAATGATTAATGTGACCCTGGCTCGTCTTTTAATTAGGAACCAATAACCTCTCTGAATATGTTATGCACGTGGAAGACAACAGAAATGGTGCAGTATATGTGCAGAAAAGCACAGAGCAGTCAGAGATGAAACTTGCTTTTGATTTAATGAAACTAATTCCATATGACATGTTTACATTCCTGTAACTAAAATATGAACATTTCAGGATCAGATCAACATCAAGATGTCACATACTCTCTTATTGACCTTAAAAACCTTCAAAAGAAGAGTAAGTAAATAAAACACATGCAGTTTAAAAACAATAAATGTAAATGTAATGTAAAATACAATAAATAAAAAATGTTAAAAAATTAACAGTTAATTTTTTTCACATGTTGAATAATCTGATCATCTTCACAGGGAAGCATCATGAACCAGAGCAGAGTGCTGTTTACTCTGAGGTGAAGACGGGAGCTGAAGGTACAGTCACAATATTTTCATTCAGTGTTTGTTCTGAAATGTGTTATTTCATTATGTTGCAGGTAATTAAAGGTCAATATGGAGTTTAGTTATTCACTTATCAAGCTTACCTACTACACACTACCACTATACATCAGCAGAGTTAATCTGCAGTCATTTAGGTTTATGGTGGGTTAGTCATTAAGTCAGGTGTATTTGTTTAGCATGATACTGTGTTGTTGTGTTGTCATCATTCAAAGCACTCAAACACAGGGTGGGTGATGCAGAGTATAAATGAGTATATGAGTTCATTTTGTAGTTTGCTGCAGATGAGTAACATCAGCAACATCAGTGATAGCACTGAGTAGATTAGTTACATTAGGATAACAGTCAGGTGATTGAATTACATGATTATTACTAGTTGATTAAGATTTTTGTTTTGCTAATTTCCTTAAATAAAATATCCTGTGTTCAAAAGTCTAAAGTATTAACTTTTTGTGTAACAGTAAAGGAAACTTTGTGAAGTATTACATCTCATCATTGGCTCTTACATGCTGCTCTTAGCACTTAAAGTAGTCTGTTCTGTACTTGGCAGCTAAAGTAATAATCTAGTGAAACTACAAAGAGCGAGAATCATTAAGGGGAGCGTAGCATTAATGCTGTTAATGGCTGCAGCTGACAAATCTGCAGTTTAAATCCACCTCTACGTCCAACAGCTCTGTGTCATATATCTGCTGATCAAATGTATCCTGAGCTCTGACTTCTCTGGTCTTAAAATCTTCTTTCCACTCACAGGAAAATCAAGTCCTGCAGCTGATGCAGCAGTTTATTCTGAAGTCACGTTAGGAAGCTTTCCTGGTAATTATGCTGCCATGCAGGATGAGTTATTCTTCAAGTTATTAAATGGCGAACATCCTGAAACTTGGACATTTGTGTTCTTTGTGTTTGTCTTACAGGTCAGTGAGGAGAGCTGCAGCAGCAAAAAGAAGCATTTTATGAATCCACTGTTGCTCCTCTGCTGCCCAAATATCAGACACGCTCACTTTTTAGTGTTTATGAAGATGATATTGAATAATAATATGATATAGACTTATTACTTTCGCTTAGCATAACACACACAAGGGTGTGTCCTGTTTCAGATCCAGGCTCTTTATATTCAGCTGATTTTTTTTTTTTTATATTCATTGTTGAACTTTTGTATAAAACTTTGAATGTATCCTGTTCCAACAGCAGTGAGAAAAAAGTTTGAAGCCTGTGATTTTTGTAGCTGATAGCAACGACTTAAAGTCAGCAGAGTTTCTTAGGAAGTGCTGGTGTGGACACCAACAAATACTTTTACTATTTGAGTTTAAAAATCTACATCATGTAAAAAGGAATTATCAACCCATGTTCTTCCACTTATTAATTCAGAATCACAGGAGCCTCTCCCAGCTGTAACACACTGGGACAGTTCACCATTGTGTCACATGACTAACTCACAGAGACACACAAACATTCAGGCTCACAGTCACACCTACAACCACTCTAGAATCACAAGTTAACCGAACATGCAGGTCTCTGGACTGTGGGATGGAGCTGGAATACCTGGAGAGGGGCCATGCAGACACGTGGAAAACCCATTCAATTATTATATTTTGCAGTTTTCCTTTTACTGTTTGCATGAAATTTTATTAAAGCAATTTAACAGGAGTAAAACAAAAGCAGATTCAAAAATAATCATCACAAAATAATCATCAAATCACATCAGTTATATATATCCAACATAATAGTCCAATTCCTTCTGAAAATTATAATCCACATAGTACAGATGAGCAGAGAGCGGCAAATAACACAGATCCAATTTGTAAGTCCACAGTTCTCTTGCCAACTTTTATCACATATTCAGCCATGATTTTAGTAAAGTAGCTGCTGAAGTCTCCTATAACCTGTTTCACTTCACCCAAGATCCTGTTCCAGTGGAGTTCTGTTGCACAAGGTGCTTTTGATAAGATGATGCAGCTCTTTGCAAGATAATGATATATTTAAAAATACAAAAAAAACCAAACAAAAAAACAACATAAGAGTTTTTAAAGAAGAAAATGGTGAAAATTATGACCTGGCGAAATATGTCCCCTTGAAGAAACAGAACAACTTTGCACATCTATAGATAAAGATAACAACACAACACAAGAAACAAGCTTTTGTTTTTGAAAAGGACAGGAAATATAAACATCCAGTCAAAACCACAGGAGCTGTTTGAGGTTGGTGTAAGAAGGAAGGACACAGACAGGCCAATCAGAACATGCGTTGTAAAAAGGGATTTTTATATCTATATTAAACAGTGCTTCTCTTTCTTCTGCATTTCGTATTCCTGTGAAGTAAAGTTATTTGATTGTGGTAGAATGTCAAGGGCATGCTACATGGATGTAAACATGGCATCAAACTGAGATAACCGACCCAAATACACTGTCATGTATGTTGTAGAGAGGACGACCAAAAACACAGAAGGAAGACTGGCACAAAACTAAGGAGAGGCAGCGACTAAATATACACAGAAGGATGATTAGAGGAGTGGAGACAGCTCAAGAAAATGAGACAGGGCTGAAGCCAATCGCCAATTGATGAGACAAAGGAGGTAACATTTAAGGCAACACACAAAGAACACAAACTTCCAAAATAAATCAGGAAATGTGAAAACTAAACAGGGAAAATGCAGACACATGGAGGACCTACATACGAATGAGTTGATGCAATAGGATAAAAGACTGAGGGTAGAATTAAAGTCTAAACATAACAGAGTTATACAGTTTTCTTCAGAGAATGAATGAAGTCTCAATTCTCCAAATCTATGAATTTAATTATTATATTTCTGCCAAACTGAGATGGATCTAGTGGCTTTGCTTGGGATACAGAAGAAATTATTGAATTTTGTTGTGGCTACACGCTCCGTTAAAATTGTGAAATTATCGATTGGCCTCCACAGAGAATGCTCTTTCCAAGTGCCCATCTACTTATCGGAGGGAAAAAAAATATTAAAGTAGCATAGTAAGTCAGTGGATCCTGCTGCAGTCTCTTTTCATGTTGCTTCTAGATTTAAGGAAAAAAAAGCTTTTTGTTCTTATTAAGTTCTTCATTCTGTTTGTGCTAATTTTGCTTGACAGTTCCACTCGTATATCTCTTAAAGTGAGATTTTTCATTATTCATTTGACAATTCTGGAAAGCCATGACTGCCCCTCTTAAGCTGAAGTTCTGTTGATTTGCTACTCACATGTGACTCTCCAAGCTGGCAATTATAGCTTGATTTAAGTCCTCATCATCTGAATCTCCATAAAGAGACGCCACGACAGTTAAATATGAAGACTAATCTTCATCATTAACACTCATGGCAGGGTTAACATGCAGCCTTCCTCACAGATGGTACTTCCATCACTTCCTTGTTTTGCTCTTCGTCTTTTACCAGCACTCCTGTCAATACAGTTGGTTTCAGTGCCATATTCTTCATCACTGCTACTGCCAGGGTCGTCACCTTTAACTTGACTGCTAAACCTTGTAGGAATAGTTTTTCAGCAGTATGTGAGAAGTTTTCAGTAATGTGACTTCAACACTATTCTTTTATAAAGTAATTTCACTAAAACCTTCCTCGTTGTTGAGGTGATCATAGAGGAAAAGGAAAAACCAAACATGATGCATGATGAAACAGAAAATGATGGAAAAGTGTTGAAATGTTTAAAAAAACAAACTTAAAATAGTGAAAAATATTCCAAGTGACAACACATAACATATATATTAATATCTGAAACCAGATATTTAAATACACTGAAGACAACACTCTGATAATGTGAACATTGCTTCCTCCTCCACACACGTACTGAGGTCTTTCTGCTGCACCTTCTAAGTGTGAGAACATCTATGAGAGTATAAATACGAGGGTTTAAGTATTGTAGAGTCAAATGTGAGGTCATCTTTCTGACAGCTAAACATTGGCCACAGTTAAAACAGTGTTGTGGGACATTAACAGAGCCGTGCGTGTGCTCAAACCTCAATGAACTGAAGCGTTGCTGGATTATGCTTTTGGTACATTTCTGTTTATTACACGTGCATGCAAAAAAGCGTGTAGAACAAATCTGATGATGAAAAGTCATCAGTTTAAAAATCAACCAAATTGATTTTCCAAAGTGATGGAGCCTGGAAACAACTGAAAACCCACATGGATGCTACAGTAAACACTGCAGTCTTTTCTCTGTATGTTTTACTGTATAAATTGATTTATTGGGAGCAACACATATGCAATGGCGTGTCCAGCGGGGTGGCCTGGGGGGGCACAGGCCACCCCCCAACCAGACTGGCCACCCCAGGTGCCACCCCAAAGGCAAAACAATAAAATCCAATCAAATATCAAATGTCCGATTATGTTTTCACGGTGAAGCTGCAGATTTGGTTGCAGGTTAACATAGCTGGACTGGCCATCGGGCATACCGGGCATATGCCCGGTGACTTATTTTTATTTTTTTTGTAACGGCATGAACAATGAGAGGTGGTGGATTGGCCAGATGCAGGTCAATGTGTAAAAATAACTCAGTTGTTTGGTGGTGGCTATGGCGGAGCTTCCACAGAGGCAGCAGGTGGATGAGGGAAGGGGAGGCAGGAGGAGAGACCCGAGGCGGCCACCAGTCCGAGTGTCAGGTGAACTGAACTTCAGGTAAGAAGTCATGACCTGCAGTCTATCTGGGTCAGATACAAACTAAGTTTAGGTGGAGTTTATTTTCATTGTGCTGACTTTTTACTGTCAGTTGCAATAACTCATACTGCGTTCTAGCCAGCTTGACAGAGTTTTTATACAGCTGGGTGGGTGCTATGATGTTACTGATAGTGAACTTTATTTTATTCATAAGGTTAATTAGTAGAGTTGCCAACGGCTCCTTAAAAAATGGGATGGTCCCTCATTCAGAGAAAATATTACACGTTTCATATTGAGCTGAGAAGAGACGCAGTTTGTCCGTACTTTAGCTAGAATGAAAAAAGACACA